TATGGTGAAGGAGGAAGCAGGAAAAAATCGAAGCATAAGCATTCACAGCCCCCTACCAATTGAGGATTCGAATTTTGTTCCTGGTTTATTTACAACCCTTTAGTTGGCTTGGTTAAATCTTGTTTTGACAATTTGAGTTTGGAGTTCATGTGATTTTGTATTTTTTCTTTCATATTTTGGCAAATGTAAAGCTCCGTATCTATTATTATTATTATTATTATTATTATTATTATTATTATTATTATTATTATTATTATTATTATTATTATTATTATTATTATTATTATTATTATTATTATTGTTTTTCTTTTATACAAAGAAAGAGGCCCCACCTATCAGTGTAAGTTACACACGAAACGCGAATAAGACACGCCAATCAATTGTCGTTGCTATATAAGTACCCAATTGGCACGACTCAATTGTCGTTTCAATTTTTTGTCGTGCCTACTAAGCACGAATCTTGTAGTGCATGGTGAAGCCACTGACGAACTCCATCTGGCAGAACAGATAAGAAGTGGTAACACAACGATCCATCCACATCGAAGGAAACCAAATAATCGTCTACAAAATTCGCTTCACGGACTACATGTTTATTATTCAGAGACATAATTGGCGATCATGTTAATTAACATATAAGTTTTTAAATCAACAGTTACTAGTACTAATACTTATGTACAACATGGGTGTTGAGTAAATGAATATGTGTGTAAAGTTATTTATGACTAATACCAAACTTAACTTCAGAGTAAAAATAATATAAAAAACAACATCACGAAGCATAGATTTTTGCCATGTCAGAATCCGAAACGTGAGAATCTGCCACCTAGGCTCAACACGTTTTGAATTAATATACAAGGAGGGATTGTGTCGGAGTAGTTTAATCGTTATTATTAAGCATCAATTTTTATTTTTAAAAATTGAATTACTATATATATTTAAAATATAATGATTTCTAATTCATATGTAATTAATGTATAAATAATTTTGGAATTGGTATTTAATATTATTAATTTTTAATTAATATTATTATATTATTTTTTTTTATTATTTTACATACACAGTTTAGATATATATTTGTCAAAAGATTATAAAATTGATTCATGATATATGAAAACTGATAACACATACAAGAATCATTAACTTTTAAATATATTTATAATTTAAGTTAGTAAATTGTTTTTTAACTTTAAATGTCCTTAAATTATGTTAGTCAAGTAATTTTATTGATATCTAATTCAATTTTCATTTGTAAAGTTATATATATGTAAACATATAATATAGATATCAAATCGAAGTTTATTGTGAGATAATTAAATTTAATCCTCCCTGTATATTATTCTCGAATGCGTTGAGCCTACATGGCTGTTTCTGGCGCTTCAGAATCCTACTTGGCAAAGAATCATTCTTCGTAATTAGGTTTGAACAATTAATATTGATATATTAATAATTAATAATTTAGGTTTGGACATTCCATAAATATTATTTAGCTAACTTAGGTATTTTAATATCATTTGTACTAATATAACCCTTTATTTCTTTGTATTTTTACATACTGAGACACTAAGTGACTAATATATCCCTCACTTTTGTTTGTTTCCTTCAATTAACTATTGAATTATAAATGTATTTTAAAAGTCGATAACTTCTGTATGTCGTAACGGTTTACACATACAATATATCAAATTAATCATCTTTTGATGAACTTCGATTTGACATCCATATTGTATATATGAAATAAATAAATTATATTATGTTTATAAAAATAAAAATTATAATATTTATTAAAATTCATAAGAAAAATAAAATTATTTCTCAATTGATATATTTATGCTTAATGTAGTTATACGTTTTAAGTTAAAAAATTAGCAAGCACCCGTGTAATACACGGACGTTGTACTAGTAGTATATTATATGTGAATTTGGACAACACTTACTAATTTTTCTTTTTCTTTTTTGTTTTCTAAATCAACAATAAAATAAGTTAAGATACATTTTTAGAAACAATACATATATGTATACAGCTTTGAAACATATATATAAACCTACCATAGTAATAAAATTATATTATTATTATTTAAGTAATTCGAGAATATGATAGATTTACTTGTTGTATATAGAAGATTGGTTCCACTATGGAGCCAACTGTTGATTTCATAGCGAAACCGTATATGCATCGATTTTACTATGAAGCCAACAGTTGGCTCCATAATGGAACCAACCATCTACATACAACATATAAACTTACCATATTAATAAAATTATATTATTATTATTTAAGTAATTCGAGCATATGGTAGATTTACTTGTTGTATATAGAAGATTGGCTCAGCCAACTGTTGATTTCATAGCAAAACTGTATATGTATCAGTTTTGCTATGAAGCCAACAATTGGCTCCATAGTAGAACCAACCTTTTACATACAACATATAAACCTACCATATTAATAAAGTTATATTATTATTATTTAAGTAATCCGAGAAGATTGACTCCACTATAAAACCAACTGTTGATTTCATAGCAAAATCATGATATATGCATATATTATTACCTTTTTCCTATAACAATATAATTTCAATAGACATCAAAATCCTCAATTCCCACCAAATAAAGTAAATCTTAATTAATGAACTTAAAATTTTCATGACTCTATAAAACCCATCACAATTAGAAGACCTCTCCTATATATACACAACGCCGGAGTACCCAACGCCCAACTTCAACCGCGCGCCGGACAATTGCCGCCGGCAGTTAAGAACCACGGACTCGGTAAATTTCCTGTTGTGATTTTCTATACACAGGTGGAGCTATAAAGTTCCAAATTTTCAGCCATTTATCTCATAATTAATGTAACATGTATTAATTTTATGTACTTTCTTGACAAGCTTATACTTTTGTTGCTTCATATTTAATTTTAATTATTTATATTGAAATTTAACATAAACGCGATTTTCTATTGTTTTGTGTAATCAATCCTCACATATATATACACACAAGAGGCCATCGCTTTAGCGTTTATATATATCTTTCATAAAGGAATTGTCCAAAATTGATGAAAAATTTTATTCTTTTCAGGTTTATCTTGAATTGTGACATTTATTTATTTATTTTTTGCTTTCAGATTGTGTCATGCTAAAGGGGAGCTAAAACATATAAAATCCAAACAAGGAATTAATTAGTCAATCATGTGGTCCTGTTCTTCCACCCAATGCCTATCCGGCGGCCCGTTTTCGTACCCTAGGAATAATTCGGGCCTCCGTTCTCACACGAGCACAAGAAACTATTCCGCGGCGGGCCCCACGAGCATTCCACCGGGCCGCCTCCGTTCTTACACGACCCCGAGAAACTATTCCCTGGTGGGCCGCCCCACGAGCATAATTAATGCACCGCCTCGAAAGCCGTGGAGCCGCCAATATCCGGCTCTGTTGAAGTTGTTTTTATCATCATCATCATCATCATCGTCATTGGCTAACAAGTGCCGTAGTAGATTCGTGGTGAAGTCGACTTCGGAAGGCAGCAAAGATGATGAGCTCGAAAAACTCAAGGACGTGTTTAAGCAAGTTGAAGATGCCATTAGTGGAATCGAAGGCCGCCTAAATGAAAATAGGCCGACTTACGACTCTCCGCTCCTCACTCGGGCCGCACGTTATCGAGACGAGTTCGTGTCGAGGATTGTGTCGTTCGATGGAATAAACGAGACGACAAAAGAGATATGGGATAAGTTTCCTTATTACATCAAGTAATTAATAAAACTTTTTTCTCAAGTTTTTAGTTATAGTTGTTGTGTTGGTGCTATATGCATGCATGTTTTAATATATCTTTTTCACTAAGTGTCCAAGTGTTCAACCTTTTTTTTTATTATTATTATCAGCGAGCACGATAAAAACCTTCTTATAGAGTATATGACCGCTCGCTTGACGGAGAAGAAGTGCAGTAAAGACTTTGGTAAAAAATTAGAGTCTTCGAGTGGGAGAATTTTGCTTCGGAGTACTCCAGGTTGGTTTTACTTTATTTTATTTTAATTTTTTTTGCTTTTTGTTATGAAATGTATTAGAGTTAATAGTGAATTATTGAGTAATTAATTAGTTAATAGTGAATTATTGAGTAATTAATTGTTGAAGGAAAGAATAAAGAATTACTATAAGTTCTTATGATTGAGAAACAACAA